GCAAAAAACGAGAAGTAAAGGAATTTCTCTTTCTTGAAAATGATCGTCGATAACAACTCTGTATGCAACCACTTTAAATGAACTGTTTGGTGGTTCCGTAGGCACATTCACTCCGCTAAAAGAGGTATTTTTGGCCAACTTTTCGTTCGTTTCAAACAGGGAAGACTGATTTAATTGCTGCACAATAAATGTTTGTCGATTTTGAGCACAGTACGTGGGTCGTCGTTTTATTGGTTGCCATAAGACTGAAACGCACTAAACATTAACGCACCATTGACACGCAATTCCCGAACACACACAACATCGAATGTAACGTAATGTATACGCAAAATAGCTTTGTTCACAAACCGTCGAACTGGTGCTGACACGCACTGACATTATTTTGTGGAAAATTTCAATTGATGTGTCTATAGTACGAACTTCGTAGCAGCTTCATAAAATATTTTATCTGTTTGTTTTTTGAAAAAATACCACACTTAATCGGTTTTCGAATTTCCGTTCAAAATTCTGTTGTTTTTTTGTTTCTGCTGCAGATAAAACGGGTCTCTTCGATTGAAAGCAGCATACGCATACTGAATAAAATTGGCATGAGGTCATTATATCACTCAACGCGATATACTTAGCGGCTGATATACACCACAGGCCATAAGTTTGAATACCCCTATGAAACGTTTGTTCCTACGTTTTTTGAACATTTTCACTTGAAATTTAGTATTGGATATGAAAATATATCGAAATTCTGACCGAATGGATGATTTGGAAGATAACATTTGGCCGGCCTATGGCCATCTTTTGGCCTTTGAGCTGTGGGAGCCAAAATCGAAGTCTTAAACGGGCCATCGGATTAAAAAGTTATATACGCCATTGGAAAGGTCTTGAAAAGTAGATGTGATTTTTGGTATTAAACATCAAAATCGGCCGGCGTTTGGCCAAGATATGGCCGTTTGTAATTTTTGGCCGAAATCTTCAATCAGCCATATCTTGGCCAAAAGCTGGCCGATTTCGATGTTTAATACCAAAAATGATACATACTCTCCGAGACCTTTCCAACGACGTATAGCATGTTGAAATTGGACAAGCGGTTTGAAATTTAAAAATTTTGGGCCAAATTCATTCATAGGGGTATCCAAACTTATGGCCTGTGGTGTATGTATGTCAAAAAAAAGTTCGTGTAAACCGAATTTAAATTTGTGGAAATATTTACCAAAAATGCGCCCAACCATTTCCATTCACTCCGAACAATGAACAAAGAAACACACAATCTTAGTCTATGTTTTAAATCTCATTTTATTCAGATTATTATTCATTTTTTTCCCTCGAATAGAAATCACATTATATTTATCGAATATTCGATTTGATTTCGTCGGATAAACGCAAATGATAAAACATTTCATCATTCAGAATCAATTGTTGAACTCTAAACTAAACGGAAATTTGTCTATACTGATAATGTTGTTGTTGTAATTTTTTGTTGTTGTTTCGTTTTATTTGTGCAAAATACAAATGTAAAAAAAACATTTTGATTCTCTTATTATTTTTTTCTTCAATTATATTATTTTTTTTTCTCTTAATTTCATCATAAAAATATATAGTACAATTTCATATCCTCTGATCGCTCAGTGCCTTATCATACAAATGTTTTGCATCTTATTTCCTATTTATCGCTCTCTTGATTTTTTTTTTGTTTCGCTGTGAGACTTGCGGAAGAAAGACACATCATCGTACAAAGTTCATGTCCAAAGGAAAAAAAAAAAGAAAATAAACAAAAAGAATTGAATTATCTACAGTTTCCTAAATATATATAGAGTTTTAACTAGGATTCTGAGAAGGGTACGGGACAGAGAGATGTTCGTCGTTACAATTGTAGCGCTTACGGGCAAAAGTGATCGAAATGAAATTCAATTAAATGGATTCTACGAGATATTTGTTGTTTACAACTTTTTGTTGTTTTTGTTAAAAATTTAAAAATACTGTCAAAATAGTTCACAATTCGAAAATATTGATTGTTGCTATATCTATACAATATACATAAATGTTTGCGGCTTTATATATATATATAATTTTTTCTTTCTTGATATCTGTTATATGTATCGTAATTGGAAATTGTGTGATGTAAATATTACTTTTGGTTATAAAAAAAAAACAAAGTCAAAAGAGTAGTAGTAATTTTGAATGAAACACATTTTATCTTTACTTCTGCTTCTTTTTTTTCTTTGTTACGACGAATTAATATATATATATAGAAGCGAAGCGTGGCGGTACCTTCACGTCACTATTGGCTCTTTTCCAGAAAAAAATCTCTTTTTTTTCTCTTCAAATAAAGTGAAAACTTGCCACATTTTGCCTCTAATCATAATAATAAATTATACAGAGTGAAGCTTTAATTCCAACAAAAAGCGGAACGGGATTAGCCTAGAATGAACATAATAAATCAAACCGAAAATTGTTTAGCTTATTCTTAAAAGAATGAAATAATAATCATAGTAATAAATAAGATTTGACGCAGAGACAACCAAGAATTAATCATAAAATAAATTTTGGATGTCTGTTAATATGGACGCAAATGTTGGTTGGTTGATTATTTTTTTTCCTAATAAAATTACAGGCTTTCGCTCTCCCTCTCTATCTCTCACTTCATCATCTCTTCTCGCATTACTTTCATCATCTCTTCAAAATCATAATTTTAGCCGTTTATTTCTATACGTGGAAAAGAAAGGGGGAGAAAAATACATTTCTTCAGCATTTGATGTGATACTCGACAGAAAAATTGCAACTTCTTTTCTGACAATAACAAACGGACATGCAACAAAACTATACAATTTTCGTTTGTTTGATGTAAAAATAAATACATATAAAAAAAAACTATGAACGTTGCATAACTCGTTAGCAACGTTCGAGAATTCATGCTTTTGTTATCGCTACAGAAATCTTTTTACACCTCTTTTGATTCTTTGGAAAACCCATTGACCCTCGTGTCAACCGCATAAACACTCATCATTGATATTTTTTACATAGAATTTTAAAGGGCGCACCCACAGAAGAAAAACGGTTCCTATTTTTAATGCTCAGAACAATGCTCGTTAGCTGATAATTTCGTCAAACGGTATTACATCTCAACATTTTAAGCTATCAAAATCGGTAGATCAAAAAGTATTTATCATTTTCAAGAGATACAAATAAAGAGAGAAAGAGTGAGAAAAAGAGCCATTCGAATAAATAACATTGGATTTTGACAGATGGAATACCGTTCGGCAAAGATACATTTTCAAAAACACAAGAAAAAAAAATCAAATCGACTTCAATACAACGCATTTTTGAGGCACAAACTATCTCAGAAACTCTACTAAAATTAAACATGCTTGACAAACATACACGCATTTCTGTTCTACTTAAATTTCCGGGTAAATGTACCGGGAAGCGTTGGACTCTCTGGCGGTGTATTACCTTGACTATGCTTTTTCGGCGCACTCTTAAATGGATGCAATTTACGATGTGGCCGAGGCGATGGATGGTCAATATTTACAGCGCTTATTATCTGATTTGGAATGTCACGAACTGATAGTTTTGTCGATTCAGCTTGTGGCTGACTCCATTCTGGAAATGTCAAGTTTTAACGTTAGTGATTTCGTTTCATAATTTCTATTTGATTTATTTTATGGAGAAAGTGTACACACTTTTCGATTGATAGCGATAGCTGTTGTCGATCATTGCTGATGCAAGCGAACTATTTGGGTTAGCTGGTATGTTATGGCAGTGACAATGGGCTGTTTACACGTGATGTGAAGTCTTCAAATGTATTGCTATCTTCGTGTCGCGATGCGATCGTATCCAGTGAACGTTTTCGCTCTTCATAGCTGAAATCATGAGACGAAATTCGTTTCGTGAGAATTTTTTTTCGGAAATAATGTCACAAAAAAAGCGTTCAACTTACAATTGTTGATAAAATGATTTTGATTTTCTTCATTTTTTATTCAAAAATTTTAATGATCATCACATGGGTATCAATTACCTCAAAGAATGGTGTGGCATAATAAGGTGACGTTGATCCACATCCTTGACGCGGCAAACCACCCAAGAATCCATTATGCGATTCCAATTCGACCTCCCATCCCAATGCCGACACAAACATTTCGTAAGTACTGCTACCACAGGCATTTCTGCAAACGGAAACAAAATCATTGATTCACGTTCAAGATTAGGAAGTGAAACGGGAGTGAAAATCGTTCGAAAAATTCCCTGAAAATATTATTTTTATCCTCTTGCCCGCTGGCCACATAGATCACTGCCACTTTGTGTGTTTCGCAACAGCGTTGCATGTCCAAATTCCGTAGTTCTCGTAACATATTGCCGGTTCGAATCAGAAGATGTGTACGTTTCCTTCGTTCCCAACCAACCAGCCAGGCCCAGTTGACTAAATAGCAATTTACAATAATAGAATTGCGTATCGCTCTTGATCAAACTGTTACTAGCCGATCGAGCGCCGTCGTTTTTGGTTCGACTGAAGTGGTCTTCACGTGAGAGTCGCACGGGTATATTGATATTTTGAGCACTTTGTACTGCTTTGAAATCCTGTTCCAATGATTTTTGGTTCAAGATTATCGATATGGTTTGCGCCCCCAGGTGTGAACCTTATGGCGTTGGAGCAGCTGCATTCAAGAATGAGCATGGATGTTCCAGGCATTCAGGACTAGTGTGACCGATGTATTGCAACAGCTGTGAATAATTAAAAACACAATTTGAAAATTAAAAAACGAAATTGAATCGAAGAATTGAGCATTTCCAACTGAACTTACATCATTCAATTGATCCGGTGCCAAGTCGTTTGCAAGCGGCAATTGATTCGGTGGACGATGACACAGAGTGTGTTGTCGTGGATTTAATGACAAACCGACGGTTGGTGTTAGTGGATCAAGCGATGCGCCAACTAAGAAATTTCTAGCACCATGATGGCTCATTGCAATTTGTACTTTATCCATAAAATATTTGCTGTCTTGATTGGCTCAAATTTGTAAATTGGGCTTTTCATCGATATTGTCAATGTTTGTGATTTGAATTTTTGGTCCACGATACAAGATGCTTGCATCCCAGCATGCTTTGCCATTTAAATCACGCAGCAACACGCGCACCTGCCGATCAGTGGTCACAAGGCCTGCCGTTATACCACCACCGGGTAATTTTAAAGCTGACAATTCAATGAAACTGGCGACTAGACATGGTTTCAACAAAAACATTTGTAAATTGAAGGCTTTAAGTACTTGTGAGGTTAAATCACCTTCAACATCGATGCTAATGTCATCATCATCGTCATCGTCGTCGTCGTGATTAGATGCGCTCGACCTTCCGTTGTTCCGTTCATTTCGACGTAAACAAAGTTCGACATGCAACTTGATATCGTCGGGAATGCGTTCATTGCAAACAGGACACATCGGGTCATCGGCTCTGCGTTTACGATTTTTCAACTGTAAAGAAGAAGATTGTCACATTAAAAATTGACTTTCTTTCTAAAAAGGAAGAAAATTCCCGGGCAAATGTCACACTCACCTTGAGCCGAGCACTTCGATTGTTTTTGATACGTTGGTATGTGGTCCAGCATTCCTTTGGGTCACTTGAAGCATTCGCCGTGCTCGATGCAGCTGAAAGCGATGGTGATGGTGACGGTGAATAGGCCATCGTTGCTAAAGGCATCTCTTTCGTCTGGGATTTACGATATTTTTGAACACTTAATTTGTTTAAACGATCCATTTCCATGGAATAATGCTGCTCCATCTCGTGTGCTCGTACTGTTATACCACAAACAGGACAACAAGTTGGATCCGCTTGTTTTCTACGCTGCCGAACGCCACGACATTCATCATCCATCATTTATTTATTCAACACAAAATCAAAAACTAGGAATTTTCAAAAACGTTTTTTTGTTGTTTTCTTAAGAAAAATCTAAATTTTCGTTCAATTCATTGCGTTTTGCATGTAAATCATCTCACTTTGCAGTGGTTCCCTATTCAAATCAACATGTTTTCCTGCATAATTGCGTTTATCACACTTTTTATCATTTTGTTCAATGCAGTGTTTTTTTTTTTGAGATGACATCAGACAAACAATAACAATAGTTCACAAAGCTCAATGGCTTATTCGCAGTTAATGCCAATTCTTTCAGATTTTTTTCAATTTCATTTTTGATCTAAAAGGTGCCTATGGTTTCACTTTTTTTCCATCTGGATGGACATCTTTCAAAGCCGCCGCTTCTACTACTAATGTCACGACGGCCAGCAATGGAATAATGAGTCAAGCAAATTCAATGATTATTCGTGATTCGATTGGCGATTACAATTATTTGCCCTTGGCTTTGCTTTTAATCATGCAATTTTTCGTCAAAATTGGAGTCACCACCATTCCCCTTTTGCTCACCGGCGAGGTGCTTCCGTTCAAGTAAAATAAACAATTTTCTGTTGTTTTCTCAATTTTATACGGATTTGATGACAATATTCCATCGGAATTGCAATTACTGTTGAAATTTCAGATTGAGATCAATGCTTTGCAGCATATCAACGGCCGATCGATATATTTTTACCGCAATTTCCACCAAAATGTATTACAATATTGAGACATGGTTTTCTTTGCCTGGCGCCGCCGCATTTTATGGCTTCATCAGTCTGACTGGGTATCATCACACCTAATCTTTATGTTTTTCAAATCACAATTTTCATATTGCATCTTTTGTTTAACTCTTTAGCTTCATTGTAATGTATCTGATTCCACCCAAAACCGAAGGCCGTTCATTGGAAGATATTGAACTACATTTTTCGGATAATACTCGATGCTTTACTGATATTAAAATTCATAAAAATACAATTAAACAAGATCACATATTGAATGCGAATTCCGATTGTAAATAGCCATTGTTAGACTGTATAAAATTCGTGTGTAAAAGAGATATCTCAGCGATTTATGTTCAATTGGAAATAAAAAAAGGAAATTGCGTCTAAATTGTTGTTCTTTTCTCCGAAGTGTTTATGAACATATAACAAGAGAATTTATTGAAATATAAAAAGATTGTTGTGATTATTATTATGCATAAAATAATTGACGATCAACTTTCACTTTGCCTCAACCAAAACTACAGTTCCAAGTGACAGTTTTCTGTCAACAGATTGCTGTTGTGCGGTCTTTGAAGTTTCTGGAGCTGTTTCTCCTCAACCGGCTCAATGGTCTAGTGGTATGATTCTCGCTTTGGGTGCGAGAGGTCCAGGGTTCAATTCCCTGTTGAGCCCATAGTTGTTTTTTTTTTCATTCATTTATTTATTTTATTCAAAATTTTGGATATATAAAGTGGTTTTCAACCATTCTAAGAGTAACAGATTTTTTTTGACATTATTTTCCATTTCCTTCTGATTTCTGGAATATTTTACATCAAAATAGTAGAAATGCGACCACATTATCATACATTTGCAACTGAAAATATTGTTATTGTTTTAACATCGATATGATGAAGAAAAAATTCCAAAAATGAACAAAAATCGCCAATTTTCGTATGTGCATGTCGGATCACAACGAAAAAACCTAACTGAGCGGTTAATAGACACATAGGCATATTCTAAAAAAAACCAATTATTGACAAACATGTCAATAAGCTTTTATTGAGATTTCCACTATTTTACTGACAATTGTTAATAAACATGCAAATAATTGACATTTGCAATAATTGGATGCTAGGTTTTCTTTGTATAGTGATTCAAACTCACTTTTAACCCAAAAAGAATAAAAAAAAAATACGGGGCTCAATCGGGAATTGAACCCGAGACCTCTCGCACCCTAAGCGAAAATCATACCACTAGACCATTGAGCCGCTTGTTTAAAGAAGATCTTTGTTAGCTTTTGAACACTGGAAACACCGGTGAACGTTCGATTTCGATTTTGCTTGTGTATGAACTTCGCATTCACCATAAATGAAGACGACACCTTGCACGCAAATTGCCTACGCAGATCGCCAAGTATATTTAAACGTGTGCTGTTTTCTCTTCGTGTATGACATTCATACGGCAAAGCCGTTCACAGTTCAGCTGTGTCAACGATTTTGCTTGTTTTTATTCATTTTTTTATAAAACAATATTTTGCCCATGTTCTGCAGCGGTTTTTATGTAATTTTTCATTTAGATAAAAATACATTTTGCTATTTTAATCGAAACTGGTTGGTTTATATGACGCCAGCTCTGCTATTTACACATTGATAAAAAAAAATATGACTTTGTAGCTAGTACTTGGTTCAGTCATATCGACTGTTTTTATCTCGAGTCATTTCTGTTTCACTTCCGAAGAAAGAATAATTAAATAATGCGGATGTAACGAAAACTAAGCAATTGTTCTGACACAATTTGTTTATCGAATGATTATATGAATGTAGGTTGACATCTTGTTGGTTATATTACATTTAACTTGTATAGCATCAAGTAGAAGCTACTACTCAAATATCATAACGAAAAAATGGGCGATTTTCGTACATTTTGCGTTTTTTCCGTAGTTCAATTTTGATTACATATGTGAAATTGTACGCTGTATTTTGGGCTGCAAATATATGCGCAACACTATTATCATAATGAAAAAAAAGCCAGATTTTTTGTTAATTCTTATGATTGAAAAAAAAAATTATAATAATAGTATTATGGAATGAGCTGAAAATATTATTTATTGAATGGGGGAGTTTTTAACATTTTTTGTTGAAAACGCCAATGCGTAAAAATTACATTAACAAGAGTCAACTTTTGCGACATCTAATGATGCAGTTCTTCTTCACGAGTATTTCGGAATTTTAAAGGGCAACCTTAAAAACCTTTTCCTGTTGGACAATGTTTCAAACAAAAAATTTGTGCATTATTTTTTTTTCTCCATAAATTGCAAAAGTAAATTTTGTTGTTTCGACAAACAATCGCAATTGGATTGAATAAACGAAATCAGAGAGAGACTAAATTTTTTTTTCACTTCAGGCGCGTGTAATACGTCACATAATGAATGTGACGTATGGGAGAAAAGACGCGCGACGACAAAACCAATCGCAGAATGCGCAATCAAAAAATCTTTTTGTTTGTCCATCAAACCCTCGCCGATGCAATGAGACTGTTTTCTGAAAATATCAAAAATGTATAAAAGAGCCAGTTTATGATTTGTATGCGCTAGTGTAGTATTTTATTTGTCCTCAATTTAAATGTCACAACAAAAATAATAAAACATTATACAGACAGATATCTCCAATAAAGTCTACATTGATTTGATTTTATTATAAAGTAAATTCTAAAGTGTATTAGTTCAAATTAATTTCAATTAAAAAGTGTTTTTTTTCCTTTCAAATGCAATTCACTGTTGAAATGCGAATATAAACAAAAATTGCGATCAACGTAAAACTTTCTGATTTAAAATAATTTGTTTTCCTTTTTTAAATAAATGATTTCTGTCTAGAATTTTCGAGAGAGTGCTAACATAGAACATCAATCAATTTGTCTAAATTCTCTATGCACATCAAATTCATTGGTTTTCACATCTTCTTCTCAGTCAAATAAATGTGTTTTAATTTTATTTCTTCGGATATTTTCCCCATAAAATTGATAATGAATATCACTAATTAACACTGTTA